AATAAAGAGGGGATATGCAAATTGACCATCACTCTGCCACAAAGATGGCAGCGCCCACAGCGGAGGTGGGGGTTTCCGTAACACAAGATGGCTGCACCCACAACAGAGGCCAAGTTCCCCTAATGAACCTTAATGAGCAATCAGCAGGGACCTGAGGCTGCACCCACCTCCCTCCCCCCCCGCCCACCCCGCCGCTGTGGGGTTTGACAGGGGACCTCAGGCTGTGCCCCCCACCCTGGTGCCAGGTTGGGGGACCTCAGGCTGTGCCCCCCCCACCCAGCAGGGCTTGACATGGGACCTCAGGCCACACCCCCTGCCTGGCAGGGCTTGACCGGTGACCTCAGGCAGTGCCCCAGCCCCAGTACCAGGCTGGGGGACCTGAGGCCGCGCCCCCTCCTGGTGGGGCTTGACAGGGGACCTCAGGCTGCTCCCCTTGCCCCGGGCCAGGGGACATCAGACCACACCCCCCACCCACCAGGGCTTGACGGGGAACCTGAGGCTGCATCCCCCTCCCAGTGCCGGGCCAGGGGACCTGAGGCTGTGCCCCCCTGCCCAGTAGGGCTTGATGGGGGACCTCAAGGCGTGCCCCCTCACCTGGAGGGGCTTGACAGGGGACCTCAGGCCACATCCCCCACCTGGCAGGGCTTGACGGGGGACCTCAAGGCACCCCCCCTGCCCTGGCGCCAGGCCAGAGGACCTGAGGCTGTGCCCCCTGCCCAGCGGGGCTTGACAAGGGTGGGACCGGCTGGGTCTGGATCTAGCCCAATGGGGGGGGGCTGGCCTGGTCTGGGTCTCACGTGATTTTGAGGCACATGTGGGTGGGCGGGAACTTGACTCTGGGTCCTGTGGTGCACCCCTGACTCTGACAGGAGGAAGATTTTCATATACATTTTACTAATTTTCTTTCGTCTATGACACTTCTATTATAGAGAAAGGGCAAATAGCAATATTAAAATATTTCCTCTAATTAATCCCCTTTTAATGTGCACAAATTTTGTGCACTGGGCCACTGGTTCGCTCATATGATTGCAAAGACAGACAGAAACTCCTGGATTGGAGAGAGCTCCCCTGAGGGCTCCCAGATTGGAGAGGGTGCAGGTCGGGCTTAGGGACCCACCCGCCGTGCATGAATTTCATGCATCTGGCCCCTAGTTATGATTATAAATGTCTTCAGGAAAAGGACCATTTTTGCACATGTCATCTCTTTAATTCTTACCACAGCCTTGTAAAGTAGGTAATATTGCTCCTGTTTTATAAAGAATGAAAATGTTCCAGGAGGTCAGGTGAAAGCCCAAAGGCATAGCAAGTTGGAGGCAAAGAAAGCTTGTGACCAGGCTCTGATCATGCTATAACTTTGGAACAGCCAGAGCATCATAGGGCAACAACATAGAGTGGTTTGAAAGGTGCTGGCTGTCTCTGTGCTAAAGAAAAACAACAACAACAAAAAATACTATAATTTTATTTTTGTTCAGACTCAATGTTCTGTCTTAGACTTCACAAAATAATAACAACAAAAAAAAACCCAAAACAAAAACATGGCTTTTTTCTCATTCATACATAAGGATTCATGCTTCTGAAGGGGCAAGAGTAATAGAGAAGGGCAAAGTATTTAAAAATTAGTTCTCAGTCTTTCCCCCTTTGGTAAGTTATTTTTAGAAAGAAATTGTAGAGAAAGCTCTGAATAGCTAGGGAAATCACTCACAGGCTGCATCTGAGTTAATTCTGCCTACAGAAAACCTGGCTAGACACCAGGTCAAGGCCAAAGCCACACTGCCTCCCTGAGTAGCATGCCACTAGAAGGAAATAACCAAGGTTTACTCATAATGTTAACACAAATATATAAAATGGTGACAAATGTCACAGTGACACTTAAGAATTTAGTAAGGAAACCTGGACAGGAAAGATTCACACAGGAAGTTTGTCATAAGTCTCAAGTTTTTATTTTCAGAACAGAAGCTGTTTTTATTTGTAAAAAGAGAAGGGGGGGGGGGAACATGATAAATGCTAGTGAGGTGCCACTTTCCCTCTTCCAGGCTCTAACTGCCAGCTAGCTCTTCCACAAAAGCACATGAAATCGGAGTCAGGACATGTTAAATTAGACCAGACTTTAGAGGGTCTAGTCCAACCCCTTTTTAAAACAGATAAGCTGTCAGCGGCTCAGAGCGAGGACATGCTTACTTGCTCAAATGTTAGAAGCAGGCAGTGTGAATTCTGAACCTGGGTTCCTGGCTGTGAACTGTGCTTCCCCTCAACCTCAGGAGAAAGTGCACTCCTGTTTATCTGACCCATAGAGAACATCTCCAATTTGACTCCCACAATGCAGATGCTCCTAGAAGGCAAGAAAAATGAAGCTTTAGGGGAAATTTCTTCTTGTGAATGGGGCAAGGGAAGTAAGTAAAAGCACTCAAGGAAAACATACCAGAAGGAAGGGAGGGACTGACCCTCTGAACACAATGTGCTTGCATCAAATATTTGGAAGAGGATGGCTAGAGAGAGGGGGGGTGTGGGGGCAGACAAATCTACCAGAATTGGCCCAATTGCTATCAGTTTTATTTTTTTAACTTTCTTTTTATTTTTTCTTTATTGATTAAGGTATTACATATGTGTCCTTATCCCCCCATCTATCAGTTTCTTGATGTATCTAGGGAAGTGGCAGCTCATGGGAACCTATCACAGCCTCTCACCAGAAAACCCAATAGCACTCAGAGATTTTTACAGTCAGTCATTCAGTGGGGAGAATACCATCTGAACAGTAAAAAGGGGGTGGGGTAGGGGACCAGCCAGGGGCTGGCACATGGCTCAGATGCAAAGTCCTTTCACAGTCACTGAGATTAGGTAGCAGGAAGCAACAAAGCTGGAGGGAGAATGCGGAAACAGAGGGAGTAGTTATTGGGGCCCACCCAGGATCTGGGCCCCAGAACTCTGAGCACATGAAATTCAAAGAGAAAGAAGAGGAGTCAATACAGAAAGGAGAAAAAAACAGAGGAAAAACCAATTAGCTGCAAAATTCCAGCAGTTTATGTTGGACCTGGTAGGGTGAGGGGTTGGAAGCATGATAGTGCATTGAGTGTAAACATTTTTTCTCCATTGTTCCCCACTGTGAGAATATCTGGTTAATCCATGAGCCCCTCTTGTGTCTCTGTCCACATGGGTGTTTTCTGTCACCAAGCCCCCAAGAAGTTGGGAAAAAGTGATCCCATGTAAAAAACTGAGGCCCAGAAAGCAAAAGTGACAGTCAAAACTACAATCCATGATTTTTCTGATCCTTTGTCCCGGGTTTACTACACCACACAAAACTTCCCGAGCATAAGAAAGTGAAGGGGAAACAAAAATTCTTACAATTTCACCCCTCTATCCTATTGTGGGGTGGAGGAGAGTATTTCCTGGTCTTGCTTCCAATTGCACTCTTACCTCCCCTAAAAATACTTATTTGTACTTATTCTACCTCCAAGATTCCAAGAGTGATGCCCACATTAAGACTATCAGTGGGAAACCCCTGGATGTCCCTTCTCATCAACCTCAACAAGAGGAATACCAGAGAGAAATACTGGGCAGTGGTGGGTTTGCCTACCCTATTCCATGAAGCCTGCATTTTCCCTGGAGATTCTCTTAACAGAGCAAAGGACAAAAATGACCACCACCATTTCTGGTCTTCACAAAACTTCCTACAGGGAGGACAGGTGGGCCCATGAGAGACCCAACTTCATATCTATCCAGGAACCCCACCAAGGGTGCTGTTCTGAGCCAAGATCTGACCGAGCCCGTAACAAACCTTGGGAAAAGAGATATGGATGCATAGTGAGAGAGACAGCCAAGCCAATGGCTGATACTTCACAGACCTTGTAACAACCTTGACATCAAAATCCCACCTGGATCCAGTGACCATGTTGAATGCAACTGCCAAGTATTTTGTCTTTATTTTTTGCAACCAGCATCAGTGCATGATGCAACAAAAGTCAAAAGCATGGAGGTAGAAATGCCCATTAACCCAAGAAAGGGTGCAGTTTGGTCCTTAGAATATGAATCCTCTGACACTCTCCTCCCCATAAGCTGAGAAGAGAGGAATAGGATTGAGGAAGATCCTGGGTGAGCTTCTCTCTTGAAGAAGAGAAACTGGGCAGCTCCCAGGAGCCCAGTTCTTTCTGGGAATTTATTGCCACAAGTTTAGGTAGGAACAAGGAGGGTGGTGGTATGTATAGTGGGCTGGGCCTCCCCAGATCTCCTACTGATTGCAACGGGCCACAAGGTAGACATAAGAAAACAATACTACACGTACATAGAGACATAGACTTTGCATCTACCATTTGGAAGAAATCCAATAAACACATGAGGGGACAGTGGATTCTGAGTCAATTTCAAGGCATGGGAAATGGTCACTAACCACAGCCTAAGAGAAGCTGGCACTTCTAAGTAAGACAGAAGGCCTAAGGCCCAGCACCCTGTGCCTGGGCACCTCCTTTCCTCCATTCCTCCCTCCTCCACAAAATGGCTAGGAATTAGGTTAGAGGTGGCAAAAGCAAGAAGCAGAGGTATCAAGACCCTTAGAAGTAAGAATTAGGGTCAGGCATGGAGAAGGGAGAATAGAGTGAGTGGACCCTCCTCCCTCACTATTAGCTGCTGGTCTTCCTCCAAGCAGTCTTGACCCAAGGAGTGCAAAAGGACACACTAACCCTTAACTCTATTAACAGTTACCTGTTCTTTTTTAAAATATATATATTGATTTTAGAGAGGAAGGAAGAGGGAGAGAGAGATAGAAACATCAATGATGAGAGAGAGTCATTGATCAGCTGCCTTCTGCACACCCCCCTACTGGGCATTGAGTCTTCAACCTGGACATGTGCCCCGATGGGGGATTGAACCGTGACTCGCTCAACCACTAGAGCCACATAGGCTGGACAACAGTTACCTCTTCTAAACAAATCTTGATGTAACCTGGGTGAGAGAAGGTTAGAGGACAAGGGAGCTGAGGTCTCTCAACCGAAAAGCAAGCCCCACCTCCTTTATTCCCCTTTTTTCTGGGAGGCCACATCTAGGGTGTTGACATAGCCATGGGCCCCTGCCTCATTGTTCTCTGTGATACAGTGACTCAGCTGAGAGCCTCCCTGAGGTGGTGGTGGAGGTGGCAGTGGAGGCGGGGCAGAGGGTGGAGCGCCATAGCACCCTCGGCCCCGATTGGAAGAAGCCCGACTGGAAGAAGCTGGACTTCCAGGGTCCCAACAGCCTTCTAGGGCCTCCAGGCCACGGCATCCAAGGAAGAAGAGATTCTTGAGCATGAAAATGGAGAAGGGCTGCTGGTAGCTCACCACCAGGAGGCAGCGCAGCGCCAGCAAGGGCACGTCCACCAGGCAGCCGCCCAGTAGGCGCAGAAGGCGGCTGCAGCTGCCAGGTCCAGGAGTCTGATCCCAGGACAAAGCTGCGGCTGCGGCTGCTGCCGCGTTGAGTTCATACAGCCAAAGCACGGGCGAGGAGAGGGTGAGGAAGTAAACTATGATGAGCAGGTAACGAAGGTGTGTGGGGAGTGGCACGCGGCCTTCCAACATCAGCTCCACTAGGGTGAAGCTGTCAAGCAGATCCAGACACGTGCCTAGGAAACATCCCGAGGCGCGGTGTTGCTGGGGCTGCAGGATCAAGGGGCCTGTTGAACTCAGGGGAGTGCCCACCTCGCTGATGGCCCGAACCAAGCTGTAGAGCAGAGGCACCGACAGCGCCATAGTAAGGCGGAAGCCTGTGGTGCCCAGGGGTGCGTGCAGCTCAATGAGGTCCAAGATGGACGTGCCCAAGATGAGCACCACCTTCGGCGTGAAGGCGATGGAGTAGATGAGCCAGGCCAGGTAGGCGAAGGCGAACTCGCCCACCGCCTCAGCCGCCCCTAAACCACCCCCTGGACCTCCGGAGCCCCTGCGGCCACCGGGAGCCTTGGTCCCTGCTGCAGCCCCAATGGAAGCAGCGGGCAGGTGCAGGGGCGGCGAGGCATGATTGTGGTGCTGGTGATGGCTCCCAGCACTGCCCCGATGGCCCTGGCTGGTCTTGGCGAAGAAGATGGCCCAGCCCACCACCACCACCAGGTCGGTGGCAATCCAGGAACACCAGTACAGGTCGGTGACTGCGATGAGGTACAGGTCTAGTAGCCCTCCCTGTGCCAAAAGCAGCACCACGGACAGTGCCTGGTAGCCCCAACGACACCCCGAACTAGGGGCGCAGCCGCCACTGTGATGCTGACCTCTGTAGTCTGGCGGGGCTAGGGCCTTGTGGCTACACCAACAGCAGCACGAACAGCAGGAGGCGCCGCTGCTGGTCCCTGCGCCACCGGTGGTAACCCCAGCTAAGCGGGCCCCGGGGCCCCCAACACTCCCGGCAGCACCCCCACTGAAGATGCCCCTGACAGCACTCCCACTGACGTCCGCTGCTGTCATGCTGCAGGAGTAGGTGGGCGTGGAGGAGGGGGTGGCGGCTGAGGAGGAGAAAGCCACACGCGCTGCTGGGTGTCAGCGTTTGGGGCTAGGGGTCCCGCGATCCCGGCAGTGGCGGCAGTGGGAACCAGTGGTTTGCTTATACTGACGCTCTGGTTGTGGTTGTCCTCCCGCTCTGCGCCGGTGCTGCTGCTGGGGGAACCGCTGCCCCCGCCGCCGCTTTCCCCCAGGCTGGTACTGGCGCTGGTGCTGGTGTTGCTGTCGCCGGAGCCTCTCCCGCCACGAGGGAAACCCCCCTGGAGGAAGAAGGGCTGCGACCCGGTGGCGGTGGCGGCTGGGAGCGGCAGGACGGAGCTGGACCAGGACAAGACAGAGACCGAGCGGGGATGGCCAAGAGCTGGGTGCATTGTCCTCCGGGAGGCTGCCAGCTGTACCCTGCCCGCCTCCCCAGCTTCTGGAGTCCTACCTGGGTCGGGCAGTAGCGAGATCTGGAGTCGCCCGGACTGGGCCAGCTTGGGTTGATGACCAGCTGACACCACCACCCCAAGTCGCCACCTGCAGGGCGGAGGGGGAGGGGCAAAGAGGAAAGGGAGGCTGGCTTCGGGGAAACCAGGACTGGATTCAAGGGGGGAGGGAGTAGGAGGAGAGATCGGAGAAAGCATGGCTGGCTGCATCAGCTGGAAGAAAAGGGGGAGGGAGAGTTGTTGGGATGGGAAGCACTGTGGACCAGGGGGATGAGAGGGGAGGAGGAGGTAGCTGTCACAAGGAGGAGGGACAAGGAAGTGAGGGGTCAGTGCGGGGGGAACCTAAAGGAAGCATAGGATTTCTGGAGAAGATTCTTCAAGGCCCCACCAGCAGAACTCCTGGAGCATTAGTGGTTAGTGACCACATGGCCTTGGTCTCAGTATAGACCATGCCTCCCAGCACCAGGCTGAGGTGAGAGGTTCAGGCCTCTATTCCCAGTCAGCAGTTTCTTTTGCAGGAATTAGGGCAGCTTTGGCCTCTATGCTGTCTAGTGCCCTTTCCACCACACCAGCCTACCTCTCTTTAAGGCACTTAAAAACTAACAGAGCAGTCAGGTCTTTTTGACTAAAAGGACCAGGAACAGCAGCCACAGACATGTATTTCTACATATTCATGTGTCCTGCATTGGATTCAGTGAGTCACCTTGGGGAGGTCCCAATTTCCAGAGAATGGAGTAGTTCTCTGAATATAACTGCTTGGGAAGAGAGAGCAGGTAAAATAATTATTGAATTGGAAACAATAGGAAGATGTATCTAGCAGAGAGGAAAACAAAGAGGCATTTATAGGTAGGGGTACCTTGATAAAAAACAAAGTCTCAAAGTGGGTGATGGTGAATGCTACAACCTGCCAGGGTGGACAGAAGGTACAGTGGTTCTGCACCTACAAGCACGGAACTCATACTGACTCACCCCCATGGACTCAGTCCACGACTGAGCTGGAAGGCAGCAGGTAGAGTTATACCTTCAGGGAGTTAGGGGAGAAAAAAATGACTAGAGCAGTTGGGATGGGAAGCACTGTGGACCAGGGGGATGAGAGGGGAGGAGGAGGTAGCTGTCACAAGGAGGAGGGACAAGGAAGTGAGGGGTCAGTGCGGGGGGAACCTAAAGGAAGCATAGGAAGCATGAAAAAAAATAAGAGAGAGAGAGAGAAAAAAAAAGATGAGGCTCATGTGTAATACAAACATCCCAGCCACATCAAAGCAAGGCTGAAAATTTGCCTGCTCCCTCATCTTCCACATACCTCAGACTACATGTTTCCTGACTTCCTTAAACCTTCTGCTGCTAGGTTCATCTTCCTAGACAACACCATGGAGCCTGAGGGAAGGGATGAGTGGAACCACAGTAGTTGGTTGCGCAGGGCTTGCCACTAAACCTGCCTCTTGAATAAGGGTCAGTTTGAGCCAAACCTCCTTTCTCCAGTCTCTTAGAGGTTAGTCTGTATAACTAATCCTTGGGGGTATGGAATTTAGAACTCACAACCTTCATTATTCCCACCTGCTTCTGGCACATGCAACCTTTGGAAAGTTCTTTGTCCAATCGTCATGTAAGGCAGAACAGATACTAGTATAGTGAGTGGTAAGAGCTTGAGCTCTGGGGTCAGTAGTCTTAGCTCTGCCACCGAGCTTGTGTAATCTTGGACTGGTTACTTCATCTTTTAAGCTTCCAACTATCCAACTGTAAAAAGGTATTAATATCTATCTTAACAGGCTGTTGTATAAAGACAGGACATGAATTCAAAGGGTTTTTAGCCCAGTGCCTGGAGCAGAGTATGTACTCAGTTAAAGGTAGTTGATTATGGTGATATTATCATCATAATTTCATTTAGCTCATGTCTTAACCTCCCAGGGAACATTTACTTACAGCACAGGCCACTAATGACTGCTTTCTGGGCTGGATCCCTGCCTAAGGCCACATTCAAAGTTCTGCTCCCCCATAGCTTTGCACTTCAGTAACTGCTAGAGAGCAGAGCTGCTTTCATTAGGAGCAGTGGTACTTGGGGCTGGTCTTCACAGGCTTCAGTGTGAGATATTCAACTATGCCAGCTGGTGCCAAAGCCCACCCACATGGGGCAAGGATACAATCTGCACTCATTTGTGAGCATTGCCTCAGGTTCTGCAAATGTTAAGACTGAGCCAGTCCAAGCCAGAAAGCAGATTGGGGAGATGCCAACTGCTAACTGGAATGATTATAGGCAGTCTCCTAGCTCTCTCCCAGAGAAAACACCAGCCAACAGCTACCCTGAACGACTTCTGCTCAAGTTAATGAAGCAGTTGAAGAAGCAGAAGCAGCTAATGAAAGCTAAGAACTGGGCTCCTGAGAAAACACTGATAAATCTGTCCCCACTCCTTCACCCCTATGCCCCCTTGTTCTGGGGTCACTCACAGATACTCCCTTTCTTCTCTCACCTCTCAGGTGCCTCCATCAGGACAGGTTTCCTCCCTGGTGACTTGTAACAGCCCTTTGATGTTATCCTTTGTATTTCTGGGAAATGTAATCAGTCAGATTAACTTCCTATAAGAGATTCTTTAGCCCACTTTTTTTTTTCAGGTCTGAGGCCTTGAATAAAAAGACCACAGATAAAAATGATGAGAAAACAGGGTACACCATAGAATAAGTTGGTAGTCTGAGTATTAGAGGGATTTCCTCTTTCATTGGATTTTTTCTAATCTTCTGTGTACACACACACACACACACACACACACACACACTCACACTCACACACACACACACACACACACACAGGGTTGGGGGAGGCAGGGTGGGGGCAGACTTTGTTTCAGCCAGGAAAGGTGATTGACAAAGATGTGACGATGATGAGAAGGAAGACAAAAAGATATTCTCATATATAAAGTGAGTACATACATTCCAGAAGGGTCTAGAAAAGGGAAGACATAGTCACTGAGTACCTCATAAGCACCTTGGGTCCATGTTAGATATCTTATATACAATAATTGAAAATTGAGAGACAGAGAGGTAAAGCAACTTACTCCAAGTCACACAGCTACTTAAGGGTAGAGTTAGGGTTACAGCTAGACTTCTGACTCTCAGTCCAGTACACTTACCCACCTATTCCTTCTCATATGTCTAGGATGGCAGCAGCTCACAGGCATCCTGGGTTAAAGAGACAAATCAAGCCTGTTTCAACCCCCCAAAATATTTCCCTAAACACCAGTTAAGTGCTAGGCACTGGATAAGGCTCATTTGGAAACCTAATATTCTTTTTTTTAAAAAAATCCTCACTGAGGTTATGTTGAGAGAGGGAGAGAGAGAGAGAGAGAGATCGGTATGAGAGAAGTAGCAGGGATTGCAACTGAGTTAGACTGAAGGCTCTTGGAGACCAAGGCATCCATCCTCTTGAGGAGTCTGAGCACAGACTTGCTCACTCACAAACTCACTCATTCTGGGCTCCACCACAGGGGCAGCAGCTAGAAAACCACCAGTGACATCTGGGGAAGAGCTGAATTCCCAAGCTTCAGGGTGAGGGCTGGAAGGTCAGGGGTCAGGACAGCACTCTGTTGGGATGGAAGTGCTGGCAAACACCATTGTTCCCCCCAAAAGCCAGAAGGCACTTGTTAACTTGGTTAACATCATTCACCCTATCCTGGTGATTCCCTGAGACCCCACCCTACCCAACTCGAGTGCACAGACCAAACCTTGTTTGAAGGCTTTCCCACACAAACAGCCTGTCTGACCTCATGCCATGGACTTTCCTGAAACATCTCAAAGGCCCAGTAATCCCAAACAGTCAGCAGCTGTACTGGGTATATCCTTTACCTCTTACTAAGCAGCTCCAAGCCTGGCACTAGTGGCAGCCAGCCTCAGTTCAGAGCTTACCTTTTCCCAGCACCCTCCAAGCCCAGCACAGGTGACAGTTAACTACAGATCACTTTGCAGCTCCGACCAGGTGGCCCTGAATCAGGCACAGGCAGTGGCTGAACTTGGCCTATACCAAAGTTCCTCCCAAGAAGTCCCAGAACCAACACACCTGGTGCCTGGCTTTAGAACATACCAGGGCACCACCCAATCAGCTCCACAAATGACATACCCAAAAGGGTGGACTTAGTAGGCACCAGGGCCCAGCTGAAGCAAATCCCACTCAGTGGGGTCAGCCCCCCAACAAATAGGTCATTTGCTACAGTCATGCTCACTTCTCATAGCCAGTCAGCTTGAGAATCAATTCCTCCCCAGTGATGTCACAGCAGCAATCAAGGCTCCACTATAACAGGAGGACACATACAATCCACAAAAGGGATACCAATGGAGTACCCAGCTCAGATGACCAAGGAAAAGGACACATACTACCTACAGCCACTCTACCAAGACTGAGAGATACAGCAGTTCTACCTATAAACAAACACAGGGAGGGAGTCAAAATGAGGAGACAAAGAAACATGAAAACAGGATAAAATTTCAGAAAAAGAACTAAACAAAATGGAGACAAGCAATCTATCCGATGCAGAGTTCAAACACTGGTTATAAGGATGTTCAATGACCTTAGGGCAATAGTAGATGAACTCAGTGAGAACTTTAACAAAGAGATAGGAAACAAAAAATAACCAGTCAGAAATGAATGCAATAATTGAAGGATACATTAGAGGAAACCAACAGTTTATTAGATGAAGCAGAGGATAAAATTAGTGATTTAGAAGAAAAGATAGAGGAAAACACCCTATCAGAACAGCAAAAATAAAAACAGAAACTGAGGAGAGTTTAAAGACTTCTAGCTCACATCAACCATACCAACATCCACATCATAGGGATGCCAGAAGGAGAAGAGATTTCATTTTTCAGTGCCAATAGTTTTTTCTTTTTATTGTTTAAAGTATTACAAATAGTAGTACATATGTCTCCTTTTTCACCCATTGACCTCCCCCTGGCCTCCC